CAATGGTGTGAGGCGGCAGTAAAAAGATCGGCAATTTTCTCATTTAGTCGATGCATCAGGTCATCGACCACTATCAAATCCCCTTTTTCGTATCTATCCGGAAGACCTTGAATGAATTCAATGTCTGGTTCTTCCCAAAACCAAGGTGCGGAATACGAATAACACCATTTTACTTTTCTGATAGGGGCTTCATATATTCGATTTCGTATCATTTCGCGTACCAACGAAGTTTTACCTGATTGACTCGGGCCAATAACCAAACAGGAACTTGGATGTTTGAATTTTAACATCGCTGATAAATTCCTTTTTTTTTTTTTTTTTTTTTTTTCTTAACAAAAATATATTTACATTCATCCAACCGTTTCCGATATCCGAGGACTCAAATGTCTATACATTTTGTCTGCAAAAACTGCATAGTTTCATAAATTCCCCCCTCATCATTTGTACGCCAATTATATCGGCTTTCAACATATCGATATCTTTCCAAAAATAACGTATATCATAAACTGTTTTATTCTCTTTTACACATACATGCAAAAACAATTTTCGACCAATATAAACCGATTCCTTACAAGTAGAATTTCTTAAATCCACTTTCCCTTCACCCCATTCACAATTCCTCATTAATTCTCCGAAAAATATTCCTACGACGACTATTGTTATTGCCAAAATAAAACGAAATTTATAATAAAAATACTCCATTTTGTTGCACTCATCTTGCATCTACTACTCTTAATTCTCACTTTCAACTCCCTTTTTATACTAAATATTTCCAAAAAGAAAAAAAAAAAAAAAAAAAAAAAAAAAAAAAAGAAAAGAAAAACGAAAATGCACAAGCGAACTCAAGACGACGAACCCAATGAATGACCTGACGTTGTATGGGTTACTGCTGGTCGTCTCCGACCCCCGCCGTCCAAAGAAGGCGTTTTATGAATGGTGTTGGTGGTGGGCATGCACTCACAATGTCGCTCCTGTCCATCTCCAACCCCATCCAAAGAACGTTCAAAAAACTACAAAAAAGGAAAGAAGATACTATTTCTAACCAAGGAAAAATCGAATGCGTTTTATGAATGGTGTACGAGGGGGACAAGCATTCACAACGTCGCTGCTGTCCTTCACTTACACCATCCAAAAAAACGTTAAAAATACTACAAAAAAGCACTCACAGCTGGTGGCTATCAAACAAAAGAAACCTACCGAACGACAACAAACATGTTCCAAAAGTCAACAACCGAGAGGTCAGCAAGCAAAACATAGTATCTAAAGCAATCCCATTTTAGAAAAACATAGTATATGACAAACAGTCTCGCCTACATTACCGCCTACTACTACATCCAAGTACTTTTGAAGGTCGACGGCACTTCCAGGGTGCAGGGATACTCAAATCCTAACTACTAAGGGTCTTTTATACCCTTCTAAAGTTCATCTTAGACATGGCGATAATGTCTATTCAAGGATTTACCATAAATTGAAACTTGGTTACCGGTAAAATCCTTACGATGATGTCCGAACAACAGCAGACCATGTCACAAGAAAAGTCAACATTTAGTCTGGCTTTCTGAAGGCTTCAAAACCTCACCGGCATCAGTTTGTATCATGGAGTTATTTGGATTTATTGTGGACACTATGCGGGCTTCCATGAAATCCTCAGTGACTTCCGATGGAGAAACCTCAGTAAATAATTTTCTTCAACAGTTAAGTTCCCATTTTGTACTGTATCCAGTGCCAGAGCCACAGAAAGTTAAAACTGCAACTGCCTCACTAAGAGTACAGGGTGCCAGCTGGTATAAATTCATTGGCAAATTTGTATACGGTGAGCCAGGGAGCGACATTATACATTTGAAACATTTGAAAACGCAGTCACTAAAGCGATCCCCATTGTAAAAGATAGGACCAAGAGCCAGCCAGAACTCTTTAGTAAGATCAGTTTAAAGTCGAGGAACTGGCTGATTTTATTTTGAGGAAAATCCCAATTTCTAATTTGTTGTATGAAGAAAGCCTGTTAGAAATTACACAAATCATCTTGCCAAAGTTGCTGTCTCAGATACAAGATTTCTTTGAACTAAGAAATCCAATGACTATTCAAGCTCGAAAAAAATTCGAAAGCAGGTGAGTGGCGGAATCATTTCAGAAAAGGTCTTTTATCTTTTCCTATGAAAAAACAATTAAATCACGACTTTATGAATGTATTTCTGTGGGATATAGTCTTGTTAGCTATTATGCAGTGTAACTAGATCTACTTCAATGTTAATCTTTGCAACTTCTAGCAAATACTTGAAGATGAATACAACAGGGGAAGAGTGTAAAAGACCTTTTATTATACCTATTTTTATACAATATTTTACAGACGGCGCGGACTTACGTACTTGCAGCCAACGACCACTTGCGGTGACAAACTTAAAAGATAACGTAGCATTAAATTAAAAAGTTGAAGAGTGGTAGGTATGAGGATGACAATGAGGGATAAGAATGAGGAAATGAAAGGGTAATGAGCTTGAGGAGGATGAGCATGAGAAAAATAAGCCTTAGGAAGAGCATGAGAATGAGGAATATGAGAAGGATGTTGAGGATGATGTAATCCTTGTGATAAGGATGCTTAGAAATAAAAGTTGATGAGCGGAAAGGAAGATCAAAAGGGTGAGGTTGAGAAGGAAAAGCATAAGAATAGAACTGATGACGTTGACGAGGCTACGGAGGAGAAAGAAAATAGAAAGCATGGGAAGCGGAAAAAGAATGAGGAGGGGAAGATGATGAGGAGGAAGATGTTAAAGAGGATGGTAATGATGAGGAAGATGAGGAGGAGAATGATGTTAAAGAGAATGATTATTAGGACGAGACGAAGGATAAATAGCAAAATTATTAAAAAAAATTAAAGATTTTGATATTGATAATGATGATGAAGATGAGGAGAAAGAGGATGATGGCGATGAGGATGTTGAAGAGAATTAGGATGAAAGGATGCTGACGAGGCTGAGAAGGATGAATAGCATAAGAATCATAAGGATGATGATTAGGATCAGGAAGAGTGTTAAAAGGGTGTGGATGAGGAAATGCGGAATACAATTAAGAAGAGAAGTGTATGAATGAAGCTATAAGTACTATAATTAAGTTGTATATAAAAAGATTAGGTACCCAGAAGAAATCTGAAGATTTCTATTACGTGTCTGAGATCGTCAGATATAAGAACTAAAAATTAATTAACATTTGTACTGGAAAGGATGCTCAAATCAAAGTGGTAGACTCTGATTTGAAGGTACTTTACGTGGTGAAATGTAAAGATCGATTTCAAAACTACGTGCTTCGCCATTTTATTCATAATGGTTAAACTTTAATTTCTTATTTTCAAAAATATTTAACTTTGGACTTTTCTTATTTACAGTCACCGGTTGTTGTTTAAAACCTTTGGGACTTCAACGTTGGGGGTACTTTCAATTTAAAGTAAATCGCGTTTAACTTCAGAGGGCTGAAGAGTGTTTCAGATGCTAAACAGTGATCTAGAATTTGCGCAAGAGCTTGGAGCTGTAGTTATAAGTTACTGGACTTCCAGCTGTGAAAGGTTCGTTTTCATGTGGTTCAAGGAGGTTTGCGAAGGCGAATTTAGGAGACCTAAGACGCGCTCGGCAGCTTTCTGTTCATCAGCCTGGGCAACGTCTTCGAGGAAGAATGAGTTTCAACTTGAAATAAAACTGCATTTGCAAACAAGCATCTTTCATAGAATTCTAAACATATTAGATGCATAGAATGTATATTTCTATAATTATTTTATTATTCAATATTTTCTAATAGCTACTTTAAATTTTAGCACGATGTTTTGTACAGCGATACTTTCAGACTATAAACTTCCGAAATGAATTCATTTTGTAGGACGATGTTTTGCACCATTATTTAGAAAGGTTAAGTTTACTGCCTGCTTTTCTCGTATCGTGATGTTTTGCGTGTCAATTTTTTGTTCTTGCCATCTGTCTTCGTCTACGATGATCTTACCGGGCTGTCTTCGGCTGACCCCGCTTAATGTAGTCAATGTAAGTTTGATATATGTTACAGCTAAAGCTCATACCTAATGATTTGAAGCCTGCGAGGGAGGTATTAGCATATTTATTTTATTTAATGTACCCAATGTAGTCTTTGTTTTTAATCATTTGCATCATTTACTCTTTCATATCCGTGGCCATTTTTTCTAAAATATATTTCACTTATATCCTTATTTTAACATATCATCTCCATTTAAAGAATCCATACAAAATAATGTTAGATAAATCTATAAGATTTAGAAAAGGCACTAAAGTTTCCGATCGTACATAATCGATAAACACTTTTTTTAGCCTCCCAACCGAGATAGTGGTGCCGTACCGACCACTGAGTGCCGTACCGAAGGACTCGGGTTCGAATCCCGGAAAAGGCATGGATGTTTGTAGATGTATAGTGTCTGTGCAGCATGGGAGCCCTTTAAATACACGTCTAGCCGAAAGTCCTCTCGAGAGGCCGTGGTAAGGGAAGAGATTGTGCGAGACACTCGGACCCGTCTCATCAAAATTGGGGACGGAATTGAGCAAAATTCGCACTATCACCTGTATGGTGCTCAAGGCTTTTGTTAATGATAGGAGCAATTTTGCATTCCTTGCCATGATGAATTTCGTGGGCTTGTTCTGATGTTACTGTCACACAAGTGAGATAAGTCACAACAATAACAATAACACTTTTTTGAACTATTGAAGTGAGATATCGTAGTCAATAATAAAACCTTTTTTGGATATAAATCAGACATTAGATAACAGCAAAATTTAAACGTTCACGAGTAAACTGAACTATAATTACTAAAATGTATTCAAAAGAAGAAATATTAAATTCGTCGTTCACGTAAAATATCTAAAATATGTGGTAGTAAATGCATTTGTGTGCACAGAGTTTAAATACACTTAATGAGAACTAAATAAAAAGTTCTTAAAATTTTAAATTATCTCCTTTACAATTTATTTATATATCCATACATTTTGATTACATTCCGTTAAGGACAATGCATAAGAAAACTTTCGGAATTATTAGCATCGTTTGAGTTAAAAATATTCGTCAATTTACACTCACGAAATATAAAACGTTTTAAAGTGTTTCTACACTAAGAATTAAATTAAGTGTTTAATAGAATGTCTGGTGGAATTGCAATGCATTATAACTAACATCACATCTAATTAACAGGAGCTAGTCATGCATGAGAAGAGAAACGCAGACGCGGTGGGTTCAAACACTTTAGGGTCAACGTCATCATAATGTTTATCTTATCCAATGGATCCAGAGTTGTAACGCTGAAGTTCCGAAGAACGTGGGCTAAAATAATCTTCATTTGGATCATTGCAAATGTGGAACCTGCAATAAGAGATATAAATTTACTGCCAGGGTTAATAATAAATTCAAAAAAACGTAATACATGGCAATACATAATTAACATTAAGTCCAAACACAGAAGCTCTATTGTGTTTTCAAATTTGTTAAGAACTAAGAAAAATAGTATATATGGAATTGAAAGGAGTTATCTTCTGCCCTTGCTCAGCATTGATCAGCACATCCAGTTAGCAAATGTAAGGTCTCGTTCGACTTCCGGACAGCCACAATAAATGCATCAGCATTAATTGCTTCAAAAAATTAATGACTCTACAAATAAACTTTAAGGTTGTAAAGGCATTAGGTTATTTCGAAGCAGTAGAGATGATAAATGTGCAATGCACTCGCCGGGACTCGAACCACGGACTTTTCGAATACGCGCCGAATGTTCTGACTACTACAGCACGAAGGCAGCTATGAAGGCGAGAGAAATACCTTATATAATCCCCCTTTTAAAGGGCGACTGGGGATTAGGGAACCCAATCGCCAAATTTTAGTGGTGGAGAATCATTATCCACCATCTTTTTTAGTTCGGGCGCTACTATAAAGACATCATGTTATTTTGAAGCATGAGAGATGAAAAATGAGCAATGCCGTCTCCGAGACTCGAACCACGAACCTCTCGAATACACACCGATTGTGCTGACCTCTACACCACGAAGGCATGCTAAGAAGACGGGAGAAATACCTTATAAGATTATTAGTGGCAGTTTCGGTACAATAAAAGACATAATGGAAAGAAATAAAATATTGCATGCATTTTGTATTCAGGAAAAATATGTATATGTAATTTAAATCATTATTCGGTATTATTATTGATTAATTATGAGAATTAGTTTAATATAAAAATTCTGTATATTATATATTATATTTTATTTTGAAAGTATGAAAAAAAAAAAAAAAGATTACATAAATTTCAAGGTGTTTAATAGAAGATTTAATGTATTTAAAACTAAATATATTTTTTAGAATTATCTACGTATGTTTTACCCTTTTCTGTTATTTCTGAAAACTTGTGGCAGAGAGAGCTCGCGGTCTTTCCTTAATTAAAATCAACCAATTTATTTTGCAAATATTTAAAAGTTTGAAAATAGAGTAGTGTTGGTGTATTTAATAACGGCAAAGCACACTAGGGCTATCTGCCAAAGGGGAGGGATGCCTTTCGTGGAGGACTTTCTAAGGGAAACTGGCTCGTATACACGTTACACATGGGGAAAACCCCGAAAACACCCATGCAGCCAGCCCGTTCGCGGGATTCGAACCTCGGACCAAACTACCAGTCTTCAGCAACTTTACCGCTCGGTCGCTGGTGAGCCCTGAAAAATAGAGTAGAACTTATAAATGATTTCTGATAATCGGCGCAGTTAGACTTGAAATCTCAGGGAGCGTTATTCTATGAAACACGTTCATTCAGATTTGATTAACAGAAAAAATAAGTTAATAAATAAATAAAGATGAAAATAGAAGTAAAAAAATCTGAGTCTTAAAATGTAATATTTGTAAATCAAACTAATATAAGAAAATAGAAAAATTTTTAAAAATCCGAAAGCTTTCAGATTTTATGTTCCGCCAAAAGGCGCTTTTTTCCATTTATATAGAAATTCACGTTTTGAGAGCATCTGGGCTAAAAATATTTAAAAAACAGCATATCTTTAGAATTTCCGATAGACAGTCTCGCATGCTGGAGATAAAAATATTTTATTCAAAGCGAGCAGACTGTTGCCACTGCTCACTTTGAAATCGTTGAGTTTTTTAATCAAAAATTTGTTAAAGTATAAAAAATATGAAATTAGGCAATAAAATAATTCTAAATTCAAGATTCGGGCTTCCAGGAGCCCATATTAGCGTTGAGGACTACCTTTGAGAATTTGATGGCTGTAGGTGTCGTTGTTTTTTCACAATGCGAGAAACATACATACATTCATGAAAATTCTTAATTATTTAATTTCTTTAAATATAATGGAGGGCGATAATATTTGGTGGCAACAAATTGAAAAGTGATACGGCCGTTTATCGTGATTCGACGCAAAATGCTGTTTGGAGACTAACAGCCCTTGTGGGTTAACAACCCTTCGGACCAATAAAAAATCATAAAAATACATTTACGTACAGTAATATCAGATCATTAACACAGCTGATACATTTCTGCAAGTGTCCTTTCGGAAAGTATTCATCCGAACAATGGCATAGTTAATGTTAAGGCTAAGTGAAATTTAAAGTAAAATTTCTCATCGACACGATTTTTTTAAAAAACAAAATTTGCTTCTTCCTTCTTCTAAGAAAAGGGAAAGGAAATATTATCTTGCATTCTCGAATCATAATACTATTTTCCTTTTCCTAGACCTCCATTCAGCATTTTCATATTATTCAACAAGATAAATTTGTCAAGTCACAGAGGATGAAATTTAGTATATGCACATTTTGACAAAATATTTATTAAGAAACAGAGACGTTTACATATGTTATTAAATTTACAAACACATGTATGTTATCATATATATTATTAAATAAATAATGATTTACCGATAATTAAATTTCATATTTCTTTCATATTTAGGAAAAATGAAAGTTTTAAGTATTTAAAATGCCTAAATTAGACAATTTACTTTATATTATATTTTTATTATAACGGTTTTACGATTTATAAAAAATAAATATTAATTAACTAAAAATAGTTAATAATTTAGTGTGTATTTTTAAGTATATTTAATACTTAAAATGATTTGTACTATATTTATATTCTTATTTTAAAGTGTCTAGAACTTTAAAATTTTAGTTTAGTTTTAATATTCGACACAATAGTTGTTTCCTTATTTAGAAGAGTTTATTACGGTATACATTAGATTCATTAACTATGTTTACTACTGTATTCGACATGTTTTGTATTTAAATCAATTAAATATTTTGTAGCTGTTTTATGTTATTATTTGGATCTTGGGTACGTGGAAAACTGAGTAAATGCTCATGTTATTCCAGATTATAATGGTTGGGGAGATAAACAGACAAATAATGTTGCAATTTTTTTTTTTTTTTTTTTTTTTTTTTTTTTTTTTTTTTTTTTGGTAGCTTAAGACAGTTTTAAATTTAGAAAATTGGTGTCATTGTTAATTCAGAAAAAGGCTGTTTCATTTGCTTCTGTCTTAAGCAACGGTTCCCTGAAGTTGGCAGAGAGATGTAAACTTTCGTACATATTTTGGCTTTATTTGCAGTATCTGTGTGTTTGTACCAATTTTGGTATCTTTTCAAGCATTTACGGCACTATTCCTCTCATTTCTGGACTAGTATATTTATTCATAGTGATTAAGTAAATAATTTTGCTTTTTATTTATATTATATTAGCATGCACCAGACTAAATATTATTGCATTTATTTTTTTATTACAATCCTTAATTATACGTTTACTTTTCTATGAAATTAATAATAACGTACGAGGAATGTGAATTTTAAAGGTTTTGAACACCAACTAGTAATAATGACTATCAAAACCTCTCATTAAAACATAACACGCGAATCTAATTCAGAAGTCAAACAACAAAAATCAGCGTTAATTTACAAAATTTTCACACAGGACTAGTTTCGATGGTTTTACCGAACCATCATCTTCAGCTGCAAAACCGCAAATGAACAAGATAGGAAATAATGTTTAGATAAGATAAGAAAGCCTGGACAAGAATAAGCAAGTGGCGCCATCTGTTGGCGAAACCAGAACTAAAACATAATTTCTCTAAAAGCCGAAGGCAAATTTGGATTGGAATTAGGATCGTTAACTAGAACAGAAAGATTTTTATGAATGTGAAATGCCTCTAGAAAATCCAGTTCTCCAATGGAAGATGTTTTTTGAATAATTTTGGCAGCAGAAAAATTGAAAGTGTGATTTTCGGACCAACAATGTTGAGCAACAGAAGACTTCTGTGTTTCCTTTTTTCTAACATATGCCTCATGTTCTTTGACGCGAAATTTTAAGGCTCTCTTAGTTTGGCCAATGTAAATTAAACCACACTGGCAAGGAATCCTATAAATACCCCAGGAATTCATATCCGGAATGGGGTCCTTGAGTATAGAAGTTGGAATTTTATTGATGGGAGAATAAACAACCCGAAAGTTAAATTTCTGCAAAATATGTGCAACTTTATAGCTAATTGATGGAAAGAAGGGAATGACAACAGAATTTTTATAATCTCCTAAAATAAGAGTGTGGCTTTTTGTGTGTTGAGATGAGAATTTTTTAACTGCTTGATTAATAATGTTGGGTGAAAAGCCCCTGTCAATAGCTATTGCTTTTAAATAATTTAGTTCTTCATCAAGGGCTAGTTTGGAGGAGCAAACTTGAAGAGCACGGAAAACATAGGAATAAAATGAAGCTAACTTTTGTTTAGTCGGATGACATGATTTAAAGTGTGGTGGAAGGCAAACCGATGAAGGTTTACGGTAAACTGTAGTACTGAAGTTGGATGTGTTACGTGTGACCAGAATGTCGAGAAACGGAAGAGAATTGCAAGTCTCAAGTTCAAAAGTGAACTGAATAGCAGGATCAATAGAATTCATTGTTGAAAGAACTCTATTTAAATCATCTTTATTACCTTCAAACAGGGTAAAAGTATCGTCTACGTAGCGGAACCATGCCGGGAAGTTTAAAGTTTCAAACAATTTTGATTCATAATAATGCATGTAGATATCAGCCAGGATGGGACTGAGGGGGCTTCCCATGGCTAATCCCTCAGTTTGCTTGTAATATTTATTTTGGAAAACAAAATGTGTTTGTTTCAAACAGAGTTGAGTGAGAGAAATTAGCTCATCAATTTCGATGCAAGAGAAATGAAATTCGCGAAGTCTGGTTTCTAGACATCTTAATGCACCCTCCACTGGGACATTGGTGAATAATGATTTTACATCAAAAGAAACCATGAGTAAATTACGAGGAGAAATGTTTTTTAACCTTTTTTACAAACTCTATTGAATTTTTTATGGTGTAAATGTTATTGTCT